GTGTTACATTTTAAAATATCAGAAAATAGACCGGGAATATATTGTAAACAATCACCAGAACTTATTACTCCACTTATTAGCAGAAATGTGCCATGTTTTAGATAAAGTGAATGAGAAAACTGGAAAAAGCTTAAATATAATAAACTAATTTAATCTATTAATGTAAAAATAAAAAAATAAAATTCAAAAATAATTTTGTTTTGGTGTTATATTATTTCATACAATTATTGGGTTTTAATTTTATTCGATATAATACAGAAACTTTGTCTTATTGTTACAAGATATTTTATGAAAATGAATTGAAAGTTTTATAAATATTTATTATCTTAATTTATTCAAGAAATTTTTTATCTGAAATTATTGCAAATTAATTTTATAATAATTAGAAAGAATATACTGTATTAATTCAAAGTTATAAAAACATTTTAATAATTAAACTTATTGTTAAAATAATATAAAATTTAAATTTAATAATTAATACAGTCTTATTGTTAAAATAAAATTAATTTAATTTAAAATTTAATAATTAATATAACCTTATTGTTAAAATAAAATTAAGATTTGTGATCTGAAATAATTCCATTCAACAAATTTTTATTTGCAATTTTAATTTATTCGATAGTAATTTATTCAAAAAATTAATTTTGTGATCTGAAATAATTCCATTCAACGAATTTTTATTTGAAATTTACTCATGAAATTAATTTTGTGATCAGTATGTGTCAAACCACTACTACTCTCATGTAAGAGATACAATGTGAAAGGAAAACACGTATGCGTGATAACCAATTAAAACAAATTTAATTTTGTGATAGAAATAAATATTTACAAGTTCTTTATGGATTCCCACTCTTTTTACAGTTCCAATTATCTTCTGTGTTCGTAATGTAACAGTGATCCCATCACAACTACTAACCTGACAATAGTACTTATCTAATGGTCATGTGCGAGTCTTTAACTTAAATCTAATGTAAAACGGATAGATTGAAGGGGAAGTAAGAAGAGAATGGGGTTCCCAATTTCTTGTTGAATAATTCTCTGTAGTTCCTCATTTTGACTTCCAAGTCTTGTAGGTTCCCTTCTCTCACGAATTGGATTTTTCCGAAAGTTCACCTCCAGGTCTATCTATCTGATTCGGTTCTCGATCTGTTCTCTCAGGCCTTCTTCCATAGCACTCAACGACTTCCCACTCTTGAGCCTTGCTGTTATATGTCCGTCTCCTTTTGTGTCCGGTCAAGAATGTTCACAGAAATTCAGATTTTTCCTTCCAGCCTTTTGTAGCCTATTGTCTACACCCTACCTTCTGGTGGGGAAGGGGTGAGTCAGAATTATCGGAAGTTCAAAAACAATGGAACAAAGAAGAATGGAAAGAAGAATATGTTTTAAGAAGTAGAATTATAAACTAAAATTAAAATTATACGAAAATAAGATGGCGTACAGCCACAGTTGACAGTCTGCAAGTGCGGCCCAGGGCTTGCTCTTAAGCTTTGGAAATAATAGTTTTTGGAGAAAGGATACCTTGGACGAGAGAACATAGCTGGGAGGTAGAATAGCAGTGAGAGAACAAACAGCAGATTTGCAAGGAAGAACAAATTTTTGGAGAAAAGAACATTGTGTCCTTGAAACACACATTTTTATAGATTTTTCTCCTCTATTTTGCATTCTGATTGGTCTTCTTTTGTCTTCTGGTGACAATTCAAAACCTCTCGGGGCACAGGAGAGGTTGTTTTTGAGACTTAAACCGATTCTCGATCATCTAAAATTCCTTTGAACTTTGATATTCTCCCCATAATTCTATCATTTCATTTTCCATTTTGATGGAAAGAAGTTTTATTGTTTAAGCTAGACTTTAAGTCTTGCTTTGTTTTAATTTTGGAAGGTGAGAGCTTAACTGTCCTGCCAGATTTTTATCATTCAAAACATGTAATTTCAATTTTCATCCAGGACCACACAAAAGTTTACTTGTTTTCAATGTTTATAATTAAAATTATTTCATTATTTTCTAAAATACTTGTAAATTATTATAGAAAATAATGTATTTTATATTATAGATAGTCGATTTTGGAAGTGCAGAAGGCAAATTTTTTAAATATATAAAATATTTGCCAAGAGTAGAAGAAATAATATTAGTTGATATAAATGAAAACATTATTGGAAATTTAACGTATGCTGTGAGACCACTTCCTTGGGACTATCTTTGTAAAAGGGATCAAACTTTAATGGTGAGAATATTTGTCGGAAGTGTATCTTCACCCGATTTAAACATTTTAAAGAATGTCGATGCCATTACTTGTATTGAACTGTGAGTATTTTTTTTTATAAATGAATTGTATGTTAAATTTTACAAAGTATAAATAAAAAGTATTTTATTTCTAAGCTATTTAAAAGCATTTTATTTTATTGTTTGAAGTAATTATATTTCATATATCTTGAATATATTACATTTTATTATAATCTAAAGAATATACTGCCTTTAATAAGAATTAATAATAATAAACAGTTTACATAAATTCAGAAATTATGATTCATGTTATAATTATTTTCATATTATTGGTTCCTTCTTGTATTTTCAGTTGTAATAAAATAAATTTTATGCGTTATATTTTCAATGTTTCTGTACTGAAATTAAAAACTACAGAAACTTTATTAAATGATTGATAACTTTTTACAAACATTAACCATTAATTTCATTAAATGAATATGAATATTTTAACATTTATAATGTCAAATACTTATTTTCAAAACAATTTAAGGTTTCTTGAAATGCATTATAAATTGGTATACACCACAATAACTTAATTGGAGATAAACACTTGGTTTATAGGTGTTAATTAACAATTTAATTAATTTACATTCTTCTTATTGCCTGATGATGGATTTGTACTTGTTGAAAATGTCTGTAAATTAAACTGTTAAGTACAGGTAGCCCTCGGTTTACTCCAGCTCAATTTACACTGATACACAATAACACTGCTGTGCAATTTGCTGTTTTGCCATGTAATTCCCCAATTCTCCCTATGCTACACTGATTTTTGTTTCAGTATTGATGTATTTACTGAGCCATGATGTTGTATTTTCGTTAAAACAAAGATTTTTATTAAATATATTTATTTTTTCTGTTTAACCCCTTCATTCCCGATCATTTTTTAAATTGATATAAGATTAATATTAAAATACATTAAAAATACTTAAAACTGAAAAAAAAACGAAAGAAATGCGTTAATTTTGAAGAAAAACCTTCAAATTTTATTTTCCTTTGTTTCGCTCTTCTGTGAAATGTAACACCGATGAGTCATTGTTTACACAGCTGGGTGACCTTGAACACAGCTGGAGTCGGATTTCCCGGGACATTCTCATAGACGTCTCGGGAGGACAAGGGTTTAAAGTAGGGTGACTATAAGCGACACAGAAATTTTTAAATATTTTTAAAAAATTCAATATTTTATTGCGATTTCCGACCCCCCCTAATTAATTAATTATATATTTATAAAAATATATTAATTAAAAAAATTAAAAAACCATCGGAGGTCGTTTTTGACATCAGAAACTAACTTTAAATAACTTTACTGAATGAAAATCCGTGCGCTACAACTTAAAAACCATGAAATAATTTTGATAAAAAACTCCCATTAAAAAACAATTAAGCCTTAATCGAGCCTTCACATAGGCTCATTAAAATCGCGATAAAAAATTTTTGCGCGGGAAGAAAATTTTGAAAAAATTTCGGGACCTAAAAAACATTCCAAAAATTCAAAAAAAAAATTTTTTTTCAAAACTACCCTTAATATTGTTTGGTATGTATGATCCTTAAGAGGTATAGAGTAAACACTCGAGAGTCTGTTCTGATCAGGGAAGTCTTTCCCATTGCAGAGGATGTCCAAGATGGTTAGACATCTCCTGTATGTGATCTTAATGCTGCATTTGTTGGTAATCTCCTTATATAATGACGCGATGTACAGATTATGTGTGATGGGGACTCGTGTTTCATCTTCCAGTCGGTTGTCATGATGGGTGCGGATGGTGGACACATGTACGGAGCAGTGGTAACAATTAATCAATCTATGGATCAGCTTAGGGTAGCCATGGTTGTTAGGTGTTTAATATGTGCTAATTCGGTGGCTAGAGCTCCTGGAGTAGATGATTGAGAAAACGTCCTCCTGATTAAAGTGTTAAATGCAGCAGTCTTGTATTGGAATGGCTCACATGACCCAACTGGGATGTAGAGGAAGGCTGTACCTGGTTTACGGTAGACTGAGATGTGGACAGTTGACCCTTTGATCCTGATGTTTAGATCCAAGAAGTGAACCTCCATGCTAAAATACTAAATGTTTAAGTACCCATGTATACAAGAATAAAGGAAGGTTATTGTCAAATAAAAGAAGTGCATTAGAGTTATCTAAACGTGTTAAGAAGGCATGGCAATCTATCTCCCTAGAAACAAAAATGGAAGTTATTCGACGAATGGAAAATGGTCAAATACGCCCTAATGTCTGTAGATCTTTGAACTTACCTCCATCGACTGTTACTACCATTATAAAAAATGCAGATAAAATTAAACATTCTGCTCAACAGTCTATGGCAGTAACTGTAAAACATATGTTATTGTAGAGGTTAAAATTTTTGAAAAAATGGAAAAATTGTTACTGTTATGGGTGGATGATGCAAATCAAAAAAACATTCCCTTGACTCAAGCTGCTATAACTGAAAAAGCAAAATCAATTTTTGATAATCTTAAGGAGACAGATGGAGGTGAAGAAACTTTTTTGGAAAGCAAGGGTTGGTTTATGAGATTTAAATCCCAAAATAACTGTCGTAGTGTAAAATTAAGTGGCGAAGCAGCAAGTGCAGATGTTGCGGCGGCAGCTGCTTTTCCTAAGGAATTTCAAAGTTATGTAGAACAAGGCAACTATTCTCCAGACCTAATCTTTAACATTGATGAGACTGGGCTTTATTGGAAAAAGTTACCAGCACAAACTTTTATTTCTTGTGAAGAACATTTCGCTCCAGGTTTTAAAGTTGTGAAAGATAGATCAACTCTTTTGTTGGGAGCCAATGTTTTCAGGAACTTTGAAACTTAAACCAATGTTAGTGTATCATTTACAGACACCATGTGCTTTAAAGGGTTTAAATAAAGACATGTTGCCAGTTTATTGAAAATGGAACAAAAAAGCTTGGGTCACACAAGATATTTTCACAGATTGGTACACAAGTTATTTTTGCCCTATTGTGCTTTGCTTTTGTGAAGAAAATAAATTACCACACAAGGCACTTCTTCTCTTGGACAATGCTCCAGGACATCTTCAAAACCATGATGAAATAAGAATATCATTGGATGTCAAGGTTGTTTACATGCTTTCCAATACAACATCTCTTTTGCAACCAATGGATCAGGGGGTTATTGCAACCTTCAAAGCTTATTATCTCCGTAATACATTCATGGAAATGATGAAAGTTTTAGACAGTTCAGACAAAATAGTTAAAGACTATTGGCAGTCTTTCAATATTTTGAAAGGCATTAAAAACATCAAGTTGGCTTGGGATGAAGTTTCAGCAAAATGAATGATGTTGAAGAAGTAGCACATCAGGAGAATTTAATTGAGGACATTACCAGACTTGCACATGATGTGGGATTGGAAGATGTTACAGAACTTATAGAAGTCCATGATCAGCCACTCTGAAATGAAGACTTATAAGAATTATACAAAGAATTAGATTGTGAACAATCTGAGAAGGAAGAAAACAAAGAATAAACTCCAAGAGTTATGAAAATGGCCAATTTAAAGCGTATCCTTTCAACTATGGAAAGTTTGAAGGATGAACTTTGTGAGTTAGATAATGATTGGGAGCAAAGTGCAAATGTAAAAAGCAGCATCATCGCATCCATTTGACCATATTCCGAAATTCTTAATTAAAGAAAACAAAAATCTAAACAATTAAAGATAGATACTTTTTTCTAAAAATTGTCAGAGATCTGAAACTTTGAAATATCATTTGTTTTTCTTAAGATTTTTTAATAAAAACATTTCACTTTATTTTATCATAAAATACATTTTAAAAATTAAATTTATAATATGTGTATTTTGTACTGTATTGTATTAATAAACAAAATTATTTTCTTATTTTTTACTTATGTGGAACCTAACCCTATACTTCACTGTAAATATGGGTTCATTTTACGCCAATTTGATTTGCACCAGCTTTTGTAGGAATGGAACTGTGGTGTAAAGCGAGGGCTACCTGTACTCAGTTTACAAGTGCTAATATCTAAAACTATTAGGCTTCTTGAATTTTAGCACTTGGAGTATATTCATTTCGTTCAGAATTGAAAAGTTTTTTCAATATTTTTGCCTGTACTTTGATTATGTTATCAAATTGTCAAAACTTATAAGGAAACTTGAGCAATACATTCAAATCACTACATTTTGGATATATCTCAATATTCTACTGAATGAGCCAATCTGTTTTAGTAGTTGCAAATAATTTTGGTATAAAGTTCCTGAGTTGAAGTGACTCATTCCATAACTGAGAGCTATGTTTTATTAATACCTCTTGTGAATGCAACAGCTACCACATGTAAACTGACATATGAATAAGAGAATGAGTCTAAGTGAGCAACTTTGAGTTGCTATGTACCGTACTGCAATTTATCGTATGTTCTTACAATTTGCAGTATTTTATGTTAACAGTTAGTTCTGTAAAATTCCATTGGTTTTTTACACATCAGAAATTTTTTCATATGTTCAGATGTATGTATGTATGTATGTTAGAGCTGTGCAAATTGGGGTCTGTCTGTACTTAAGAAGTAATAGGAATATTAAAAATTAAGTTTCTAAGCCAATTCTTAGAAAAAAAAACATTCATCAAATACCATGAAATTTTATAGATAAAAGTTTAGTGAAGCCTTCACACTGATAACAATAAAATAAATACACAGAGTCAGTGTTACAAATTATGCAGAAACAAAAGTTTATGCTTCTGTACTGTGTACTAAGCTGATTCTGCATATTTATTTTGACGTTATATAATAATCTGTGATATTGGTTTTAACCATAATATTTTATAAAACACCTATATTTTTATTTATTGAATATATTTATATGTTTAGGGCAATATTATCAATTTGCTGATAGATAAAATATTTTGTAAGAATGATTTACAAATGTGTTTCATTGCTAGATAATTACAAAACACTTTATAATTTTTGTTTTTAATAGATGTAAATTTATTCCTGATTTTATTGTATGTATTTAAATTAAATGAAAAAAAAGATGCATCTTATAATTAGAATATTGTTTGTTGTATCATTACACCTTTCACACCAGAAGAATGCAATATTAAATAATGTAGTTGACCTTCTTCATTAGGTTCTTCCCTGCCCACTAATAAAAATCCACTCTCCTTTTTTCTAAGGACAATGAGAGTCTATCAATAGTGCAAATATATTTATTAATATGGCAATATTAACACAAACATTTTCCATTTACTTTTTAGGATGCTCCTCTGTAGTGGTGAAGTGCTTATGTTAGTGTGAGATTAGTTGGGGCAGGATATTTAAGAGTGCTTTACTCCTCTACCTCTTAATTGACACAAGACCTAGGGGTCCGATCTTGCTTGTCTAAAGGATGGCTTCAAGTTGAACAGAAAAGAATTATGGAGATGAGGATCATTAGATCTTATCTCACATCAGGATCTGACACCAATCTATTGATTTATTGGCAGATAGATATGCGTTTTAAGTGGGGTCGATGAGTAACTCCGTGACCGAAGGGTTAGAATCTAGATGATGCCTTTGTCAAAACGAGGTCACTGTATCTCTGGGATATGAACAAATGGCAAAAAGGTGACCAATTAAACACGAGTGATCTCGTGGAGGCTTCTGGGTTCGGAATCTAAGGATTTGTTAGGTATTTGGAGGAGTTATTAACAATATAGAAGGGTCTGCGACCTTGACTGCGTTCACAGAAAAAATTTGAGAGAGAGCTTACATATCATCGTGAGTAGAATAAATACCTTGGGAAAAAGGTTGATATTCAGTAGTCTTTCGACATCGGCAGAACGTTCTCAGCAGTCTTGACAGAGAATGTAAGTTTGTTGACTTCTGGATAAATCGAAGTGAAGAGAGTTCGGTAAGGATATGTTGATCTGTCCGAAGTGGAGGAAGTTGAAGTGGGATCACTTTGGGAGGATGACGACGGTGGTGGCGGGATGCAATAATCCAAGATACACACTCGTTAAACAAAGGTTATAACTCCTCTCTCCGAGATGTGTCATCACTCCGCCTTTTATTGGGAGGCTCCCTTTTCCCCACATACATCAGGGGTGAGGGTCTCTCTGGATTAAATAACAATGATGGATTAAATAACACAATCATGACACAACAGTTAACTCATTTTCTACAAGGAAGTATTTTTCGTGGGAATGGAGTTTTTTGATCGAATTTTTTTTTGTTTTTGTTTTGTGTAGGAAATGTTTAACGAAAATGAATAATGTTTGAATCAAATCTAATCATCCAGGCCCTCACATCAGTGTCTGTCATATGTGCATGCGCATGCTCCATTCAATGCATTTATTGTGCATGTCCACACATATGCACAAAAGGAAACTGAATGTTTTCGTTTGTGGGAAATTGGGGTGAATTTTGTCCAATCTAAGATCAGAGAGATCCACCCACAGGGTCGTAGGATGGGTTTTTAGTATTTTAAAATGTGGTTACAGGGAGTTCGTAAAAACTACCTGTGGGGTTTTTCCTGACACCAGCCTAATTGAGTGTTAGACACGCTAATAGAATAAACTAGTAATATTTTCCGAGAGGGAGGGATTGTGGACCCATGACAAAACTTTGGCATAGAATTCAGCTTATTGACGAGACCATGATAACAAAAAAACAAAATTTAATAAAGACAAAATATAAGTAAAATTACAGTCAACAAGAAGTTACAAATTCCTGTCCTACTCACAAGAGAGAGAGTTTACAAGTTTAAGGATATACTACCTTGACTTGTGTAGCTGGAGTTCACTCTTGTCAGTAGTGAGGAGTTGATATGGCAGGATCACTGTAGTGACAGTACAGAGAGGATGAAGGAGATCTTCTTGATGGGAACTACAGCACACAATTTTTTAAAGGTTCAGCGAAGCAAGAGACTTGGGGTTTTGGAGTCCAGAGAAATCTTAGGCCAACTCTCGGATTGGAGGAAATTTGCCCTTTTTGTTATAGGTTTTAACCAATAAAATTGAAGGATTTTGCATACGTAAATGGGATGTTTGGGGATGTGTAGAGGAGGGTGAACAGCCAGATGTATGTAAAATTTGAGAGATAAGGGGTTGTGAGAAGGGAAGTTAATTTCCCTTTTTGTCATAAAAGTGACAATGCATTTCCTTTAGCGTAAACAATATGTGGAAGAAATTTATTTCTCACCCTAATTTATTAACAATTTTGAGGGAAAATATTACTTTCTCATGTAGTAAAAATTATATCATTGTTTTCTCTATCAAAGGATGATGTAGGATCTCTGCTTTAGGAGAGATTCTCAATTGGAAAACTACACAAATTTAGATTGATGTATTTAATTTTCTAATTTAAATAACTTAATTTTATAATTCCCATTTTGATTCTCACACGTTTATGGTCACTGTAAGCTATAGTAAAAACTACACAGTTCCTCTGGAATCCATAAACCACATCTGTTACTATATACTGAATATACATCCCTTACTCTATATTCAGTGAAAAATTCTTCTGAACAACTACTTGATTCCAAGAATTTATAAAATTTATTTTAAACAAAATTAATATTTGATTTGCTTTTGTGGAGCTTGCTATCAGATCGGCTTGACCAGACTTGTTAAATTTACTTTACTTGCTATAAATTAAGAAAGCCAAAAATGTTTATATAAAACTTCCTTACTTTGATTTAAAAAATTTTTGAGATGTGTTTTTTAAATAAAATAAAAATATAATATACAAATGTAATAATAATGTAATAATATAATATACAAATTAAATGTAATTACAGTAGAGCGTTGTTTATCCGAAGGTCGGTTATCCGAAAGAATTCCAGTTGACAAATTTAAATTTTTGCCAGTGCTGTGGTAATTTTTGGCTATGTCTTCGGCAACTCAAATATTTTACGTTTTTGATACTAAATTAACTTCTGAAGTATAATTTTTTATTGTTTTTATATTTTTAAATATATTTATTTTCTTCGTACAAAATAAAAAAATAATTTTTAACGCTACAACAGTCTTCGTTAGGCTTAACATCGACGAAAATTCAACGCGAAGCGACACGCAACGGAGAAAAATTTCAACACGGGATAAATTAATATATTTTTTCATACATAATTGGTTATCCGAAAAATAAGTTATCCAAACAACCCCAGTCTCCAGTTGATTCGGATAAACGACGCTCTACTGCACAAGTTTTCCTTTCCTCTTTCTAAACTATGGGTTCCCAAAGTGGAGGGTCAATGTCGACCACTTTCCGCTTTGTGATCTTCTAGATGTTCCATAATTATCTCTTCCAAGTATATGTTGAAAAGGAGTGGTGATAGGCAACACCCCTGCCTAACACCTTTTCAATCTTGATTAAGGCATCTTTGAGAGATCAAAAATTCAGATTATTGTGAATCATTTTTGATTAAAAATGATTCATATAATCCAATGGGTTATGTATTTGACAGTTCAGGATGTTGTAAGCTTGTATACTAACTTAAGGTAGACATTCTCTGTAAAATGGTATATGGGTTTATACTGGCTCACCAGATTTATTTATTTATTATCATTAATTATATTAGCAAAAAGCAAAAAGGAGGAGATGGTAAAAGTTGAATCCTTGAAGGAATCAACAGTTATAAAAGTTTTGGGACCCCTGGTCTAAATAAATAAGTAAAATACCAGCTTTAGCCAAAAGAGAGAAATTTTGCTTTAAATAATTTAATTTGTGCATTGTTCAGATTTATAACATAATATTGTATAGAGTTAATTCATTGTTAAATTATAAAATTTCAAATATCACTTACATAGAAAATACTTTCTAATTTAAGCATAGAACATCTTAAACCTGAAGAGCTAGAAAAATTTCCAAAAAGTATTTTTGGACTCATTCGGCCAAAAATAGTTATCCTGACAACGCCAAACAGCGATTATAATGTTCTGTTTCCAAATTTTAAAGGATTTCGTCACTGGGATCACAAATTTGAATGGAGTACCCAAGAGTTTCAAAAATGGTAAGTGTTTTATATTAATTTAATGTAACAGGAAATTATGTATTGACTAAATGTTTACTTTTTCACAAAATATAATTTCTGATATGTGGTAAATCAAAGGGAAAATGTATCAAAACTTTTTTGGGCTTTGCCTTTTTTAATTAATTTCCTTGGCATTTTAAGTAACCTTTAAATCATATCTAAATGTTATTAATCTATTCACTTCATTGGGCTGCAATTTGAAAAAATTGTAGACATATAAATTCCCACGGTTGTCTATCTATTCATCTGTCTGAGATTAATCTCGAGAACTGAGTTAGATAGATGAAAGCTGAGACCAGATATGGAAAGCTTAAGTCCCGATTAACAATATGCAAATTTCTGATGTGAACTGGAAGTCACATTATTTCAATTCAAAAATTTCCCTGAAAGGAGTTAGATAGATGATAGGCATGACTCAATTGTTGAAGGAAAAGTATGATGTACAGGGACAAGCCACTACTAATTTGAGGTAGAGTGCATATATTTTAAATTAAATAAATTTAAAAAATATGATTAAAAATAAGGGGTTGTGAGAAGGGAAGTTAATTTCCCTTTTTGTCATAAAAGTGACAATGCATTTCCTTTAGCGTAAACAATATGTGGAAGAAATTTATTTCTCACCCTAATTTATTAACAATTTTGAGGGAAAATATTACTTTCTCATGTAGTAAAAATTATATCATTGTTTTCTCTATCAAAGGATGATGTAGGATCTCTGCNCATCAAATACGGAAGATTGAAAGCAGCATTTTCGGCATATTTTGTTCTTTTATTACCGAAAAGGTAAGAATGCTGTTCAAGCGAGAAAAAAATTGTGTGATGTTCATGGAGATGATGTATTGACAGAACGACAGTGCCAAAACTGGTTTACAAAATTTCGTTCTGGAAATTTCAATATTAAAGATGCACCACGTTCTGGATGGCCAGTTGAAGCCAATGAAAACAAAATAAAGGCACCGATTGAAGCAAACTGCCGAATAACAACACATGAAATCACTAAGAGATTAAATTTGTCAAATTGAACTGTTTATGATTACTTGAAACAAATTGGTTTCGTTTCAAAGCTCGATATATGGGTTTCACATGTTCTTAAAGAGAGATGCTCTCTTTGGTGGGATTTTAAGGAAAATTTTTTTTGGAGCTTTTACCAGACAATTTAACAATTGATTTGAAAGTGTACTGCCATCGAGTACACAAATTGAGTAATATCATCAAAAAGAAAAGACGGCCAGAATTGATAGACAAAACAGGTGTAGTGTTTTACCACGATAATGTCAAATTTCACACAAGTTTGGTAACTGGTCAGAAACTGTTATAACTTAGATGGAATGTGCTATCACACCAACCATATTCGCCAGATTGAGCACACTCGGATTATTACTTGTTCTGGTCTATACAAATTGTTTTTAACTGTAAGACATTTACCTGAAATGACAATGTCAAAAATCACTTGGATTGTTCAAGTTATTCTTTCAATCACCATAACAGTGTATTTCTATTAATAGGACTTATCATACTGGTGTATAAGATTACAGCAACATAGTCACACAGATTAAAATTGTTTTATTTACAATTACCTGGACACATACAAATTGCGTTTCGGACTTGTATGTCCCTCTTCAGCAGGTATTTAACAAACAAATTCTAAATAAATAAAATTCATACAATAAGCAAACCAATTTACTGATAATATTTTAAAAAAATTTTTATGCTTACGATAATAAATTAAAAATTCATACTGTTTTGATGTTCTTTCTTTCAAATCTACTTTTTCTCCAATAATTCAGTCCAATAACAATTATCAATTTTAAAACATTCCTGTATCAAAACCAATAATTGTTCCATTAAACTCTAACATTTTTACATTAAACGTTAACATTTTACATAGTTTTGTACATTTAAAACCAATTCTAACTTACATTTCTACTTGTCTTTCTTCACTTTCACTTTCCATACGTTTCTATATTCAACGGTTGACTCAACAGTGAATTTTCCGTTGAGTCCCTCCGTTGAACGATCTGACGTCACGTTTTGCAGAAAAAAGAAATGCTTTCGTTGAGAGGTCGCTTTTCAAGATGGCTGACTTAAGTAACGAGAAGGTGGCGATTGTGACTGTTTTGCTAAATAATTAAAGTAACNTTTCATAATCTTCTTTTTCTATATAAGTCGGATATCCAATTTTCTTAACTAAATTATTGTATTTATTCTGAAAGAACTTACCAGTACATTCACTTTTTGATTTCCCTTTGTTTCTCTTATTCTTTCTTTCTAATTTCTTTAATTTGTACTTTTTATAATTAGTATTGGAAGTTGTTATTAATTTATTTATTTTTCTTATATCATGTCTTTGTAACTGTGTGACTGTGTTGCTGTAATCTTATACACCAGTATGATAAATCCTATTAATAGAAATACACTGTTATGGTGATTGAAAGAATAACTTGTTTAAATTAAGGACATTGATGCATATTAATTAATCACTTGGATTGGTTTTTTGTAAGCAATGATCAAAACTTTTATGAATGTGAAATCCTGCTACTACCAGAAATGATGACAACAAGTATTTGACCAAAATGATCGATATATAATTCAATAAAATATTTATTTATTATAAAAATATTGTTAAAATATTGTTAAATGAAAAAACGAAATTACTTTCCAAACAACCCAATACATATTTAATTATAAACAGAAACTTTGAATAATTAATGTAAAAAAATTATATATTCTTACTGGTATATTATCAATGTAAAAAATTCCATTATCTTTAATAAATGTTTTTTTTTATTCATTTTTTCACAATGAATTTAATATATTCTTGAAAGTTTTACTCTATCAACATTTACTATATAAGCCAAATGATTCAGTAATAAAAAAAAGATGGAATAATTAAGCTATATACAATTGGAATTATCTTTAACTGTATATTACAAAAAATATAATATCAATTCTGTTTTTTTTTTTTTTTTTACAACTAAATTCTATTTGAATTTGGTATGTATGTATATATCTATATATATAACCCATTCAACAGGTGTCCGTCTGTCTGGTAACCGTTTGATAATGGATGCTAGAGACGCCCCTATCGTGTGTCATATTTCAAACATTCAAATTAACAATTTTAATTCTTATTTAAATTAACAATATAAATTTTTATTATTCATTTGGCCAATAAATTATTATTTGGTCAATATAACAATATAAATAATTCAGTATATTTGTAATAGGAATTTATTATTTCAGGGGTTTATATCTTGCGAAGGGTCGCAAGTAGGGGTATGGTTCCTTTGACTTTATTGTTCGCACAGGGGG